TGAACCCAGGGTTGTGAGTTCAATCCTTGAGGGGGCCATTTAGGGATTTGGGGCAAATCTGTCAGCGATAATGCTTGGTCCTGCTGTGAGGGCAGGGGACTAGACTCAATGACCTTGCAAGATCCCTTCCATCTATTATTATTATTATTATAGAGCAATGGTTCCCTATCCACAGACCCCTGGTGGTCTACAACAGTACTGCAGAGGGTTTGTAGAAAGTTTAAAAATAAGGATCAGGCCCAATCTTGACTTTTCTTTTTTGTCTCCCTCAGGGAGGGGGGCATTTTGTGAAATTGTAATAAATTGAAAAGGTGGGAACCCTGATCTAGATCATCTCTCACATCTGTCCTACCTGTCATGCTTAAATTTGACACTTTGGCTACGTCTAGACTGGCATGATTTTCCACAAATGCTTTTAACGGAAAAGTTTTCCATTAAAAGCATTTGCAAAACAGAGTGTCTAGATTGGCACGGACGCTTTTCCACAAAAGCACTTTTTGCAGAAAAGCGTCCATGCCAATCTAGATGCGCTTTTCCGCAAAAAAGCCCTGATCACCATTTTCGCCATTGGGGCTTTTTAGTGCAAAACAAATCTGAGTTGTCTACACTGGCCCTTTTGCGCAAAAGCTTTGCGCAAAAGGACTTTTGTCCGAACAGGAGCAGCACAGTATTTCCGCAAGAAGCACTGATTTCAGACAGTAGGAAGTTAGTGTTCTTGCAGAAATTCAAGTGGCCAGTGTAGACAGCTGGCAAGTTTTCCTGCAAAAAAAATTGGCCAGTCTAGACGCAGCCATGGAGTGGGGAATAATTTGAGAGTTTAAAATGTGTGAATGGGAGACATGGAGGGTGTTACCCGCAACTTCTTGATGAGCCACTGTTAAACAATCTTTTGTCCTTAAGTTTGAGCAGTGGCTGGTAGGGAGTGGCCTCAACTGCTTAACAAAAAGAATAGGAAAGGAGAGGCCTTGGTCTTTTGGCTGTGATGCACCTGAAGGAAGGAGCCTGAGACCCCAGGGTGTGGGAGACAGCCCTGTTTTGGAGTGGCAGCTAAGTATCTGCAGTGATGGAGACTCCACAACCCCCCTGCAGGCAATTTATTCCAGCGCTTCACCACCCTGACTGATAGGACAAGAAGCAATGGGCTTACGGGAGATTTCGGTTGGACATTGGGAATAACGTCCTATTCTCAGAGGTCAGGGAGAACCATTTTGCTCCCTCCTCCTTGTAGCAGCCTTTGATGGATTCATGCCTGGCCCAATCAGGTCTGAAGGGTGCGTCACGCACCAGGCTCTGCCACCTGTGCACTTTCGGGGGTGCCCAGCACGGCAGGACTGAGGAGCAGCCCAGCTGGTACAGAACTGACCCCTCAGGGCGCTGCTCAGACCCAGCACGCTCGCTGCAGCCTGGTATCGGCGACTCCACTGGGCACGAGCTGCCCTTCACCCGGATTCCCACCCTGCCCCGCATGCACCAGGCAGGGCCTACGTGTGGGGGAGGCTGATCTTTAATAACAGAGGACAAGCAGATCAGGGTTGGGGGCGGGCTAGCCAGCCCCTTCCAGGCCGCTTGGCAGGGTCTGTCCGCAGGGCCCGGGGCAGCTCGCTGGGGCCAGGGAGACGCAGTGGGCAGCCCCGGCGCCCGCTTCCCAGACACGTGGTGGAAGAAACACGGCGCTTTGGGCCTGCCCAGTGAGAAAGGAGCATCCCTCCCTGGGGGTTGGCTGGAAGAAACGGACCAACTGCCCCTATCCCAAGGACACAGGCTGCAGCGCGGCCCAGACCGGGTGGGCACAGGGCCAGACACCCTGCCAGTGAGAGCCCTGGGGGGCAGTGATGGGGGGCTGGTCCCAATCAGACGGAGCCCCACACAAGGGGGGTTTAAGACTGGAGGGCCTGGCCCCAGGAGAGGGAGCCCCACAGCGGGAGGAGCGTATTCCTTGGGGGCTGGTGCCAGCAGGGGGGAGCCCCACATGTTGGGGTTCAGACGATTGAGACTGGGGAGGGTTGGTCCCTGTCAGAGGGAGGCTGATGATGGAGCTGGGATGGGTTAAGGCTGGGGGAGGGGGGATGGTCCCTGGTTGAGAGAGCTCCATGCAGTGGGAGGGGGGTTGGTCCCTGTCAGAGGGAGCCCCATGATGGGTCAGGGGGAGGGAGAGCTGGTCCCCATCAGAGGACGTCCCACACGGGGTGGGGGGTTACGGCAAGGCGGCTGTTCCCCGCCAGAGGGAGCTCCACGTGGGAGCGAGAGAGGGGTGGGGGGAGCTGGTCCTCATCAGAAGGAGCCCCAGGAGGCACCACCAGAAGCAGGGCTGAGTGACTGGGACAATAATGGGGGGACCGTTCCTAAGAGTCCCAGCGCTGAGCCCCAGCAACAGCCACCAAAAGCGCCCTGCCGGGAAAGTCCGTGGGGTCCCCGTCTCCTCGCTCCAGTCTTGGGGCGTGCCGCTGGCTCCGGGTGCAGCTGCAGCTTCCTCTTGGC